CAGCCCCCCCCGCCATGAGCAAAGCCAGAGGGGCTTGGCATGTGCAGCGTGCAAGCAGGATCCAGCCCAGCACGGGGAGGAAGGTTTTTTTTTTTCCTTGGAAAAGGCAAAAGGGAAAGGGTTGGACATACTTGAAGTGCAGGTCCTTGAAGGTGAAGTGGGTCTCTACGATGCCAGTGGTCTTCACCCTGGTGCGCAGCACGTCCTGCTGGGTGGGGATGTAGTCGGCACGGGCTATCCTCTCCAGGTCATTCAGGTAGCTGGGGAGGGAGCAGGAAGGTGCTGTGGAAGCTGGACCCGTGGGGCACGACCCACCCAAATCACATGGGGCATCCCCACACCACCCCAGGGTCCCCTGCCCACACCCCAGCACCGTCCATTCAGGGTGGGCAGCGCCAAGCCCGGCAGCACAGCAGAGCCCATCCGCACCCCAGGGTCACCCCACCGCTCCGCCAGACACTGGCACGGCAGGACGGCCAGCAGGCAGGACGGCCAGCTGCCGGGATGGCAAGGGGACACACGGGAACGTGGGCTCAGGGGGCAGCGTGCTAGCACCGGGGTCCGGGCAGGGGACTCAGCCAGGGCTGGGGGGCTCCCCCCGCTCCCCCAGCCCGTTCGCACAGGGGAAACGGCAAGAGGAAAGTATTCACTGCTATGGCAACCGGCCGCAGCGCTGGCGGAAACAATCGATGGCGCCGTGCCATTTATAGTCAAAAAACACAAAGGGACGGCGTCCTGGGAGGAAGCAGGAGGCGGGCAGCCGGAGGGATGGGGAGTAGCATGGTCGGGGGGGCTGCTGCCCACCCTGAGCCCCCCAGGGTGGCATCGCCCGCCCTGCTGCCTGCCCAGCCCTGCCAGACCCCAGCTCCAGGCAGCGGTGGTGGCTCGGCTGGTCCCCGCGGCTGCTTGGGGACCCAGGGATGCCGGGGGGATCAAGGCGGGTTTCAATTTCTCCAGCTCACATTGCTTTAATTGGGTTATTATAAACGGGCTCCTTTAAGCAAATTAGGCTTGCCCTAATTAAGGCGTTTGCAGTCCCGTAATCTGGTGAAAGCCAGATTACGACTCGCGAGGCCACGGGGATCCCTGGCTCTGATGGCAGCGTGGCCACTTGCCAGCTCCCAGGAAACCAGAGCCGTGGGTGCCCCGGGACCCTGCTGCAGGCATGAGGGTGGGGGGGCCGGGACGCCGACGCCGCGGAGCAGCTCGAAAACAGCCGGAAACGCACACAGCCTCCGGCTGACAAAAAAACAGGAAACACCGCGGCAGGGCCGTGCACAGCGCCAGCAGCACTCGGACCTCGCGCCCAGCCCTGGGGTGCCAGCGAGTGCTCGCCCTGGCACCCCAAGCTCCTGGCACCCCCAGGGGCTGCAGAGGAGGAGGCTGGGGGCTGCTGCAGAGGGCTGGGGTGCCGGCAGGCTGCAGTGCAGGCAGGCTGCGTGCCTGGTACAG